AGCTGATGCTGCTGCCATAAGATCCTCTGCACAGTCATCTGTATCTTCAGAACGATGAAAAACTGGTGGATCTGGCAGGTCCGCTTCCGGTACAGTTTCAGGCACGGGAAAGTCTGCTGCACAAGCCAAAAGAGGAGGACCGGCCAAGAGTCGATCGTGTTTTCAATCACCTTCATCACGTTGGATGTGACTCTTTTATGTTCAGCGGCTAGCCGTTGCTCCTGATAAATCGATTCTTGAGCTTGCCATCGGCGCTCGGGATTCAGAAACCTTTGTGGGGTTACACTGTGGAAGATCTGAGCTCTCCCTCTGGGGACTCTTTTGAGAGCTTACTCCACTCTCCCTAGTCATTTCAAGAGCTAGGGTTGGAGTCGATCCAGCAGCCGGTTCTGAAGTTGCTGCAGGATCAGCAACTGCACTATCCTGCTGCTCTGCTGGAAAATCAGCAGCATCGAGCGGTGCCAAATTCCACACACAATCGCTTCCTGCAGCACAGGCCCTTATGGCCCACCATCGGCCCGAAGACGGCGAATGGACAAGAGAGCGGCACTTGCATAAATGATTTTCATGAGTCACATTGGCAGACTTGCTGCGACTGGCGCATGTGGCCGCCGCAAAGTATTCCACAAGAGTTTTTTGTGGAATGATGCAGTTCATTGCCGAATTGCTGTATTCCTTCCTGCCAGTCTGGTTTATCAAAGAGTCTTCCGTAATAGGAGAACATATCTCCTTTTAGGGAATGGAAGCTACCTCTATGTCAGTAGGCAAAACTCTCCCTAAGCAAACATCCGATGACCCCGTTGTGGTCTGTTCCATGAAGCCAGGCGTACCAAGTTTGGTCCTAATTCGTACGTTGAAGCGGAAATTTATACACAGCGACATACTGGATCTCGTTCGTCCAGCGCGTAGCCTCGTTCAAGAAATGATCGTCATAGTCAATTTTGTTTCGCAAAACTGCTTGATTCGCAACTCGAATAAAACGACGGAGGAACAAGAAATCTTGACGAAGGAAATTATTAACTTCATAATGCACAAGTCTATTTCTGCAGACTTGATTGACTCACCCGCTCTGATCCATTTTCGGACATAGACCCGGCGTGCCTGGACTGTCCTAAGGTAGCCGCAAGGAAAATGGGCCAGCGACGTCGGTGGTGGCTTTGAAAACAGTGGGTCACCATGAAACCGTACTGAGACTGTGAAGTCGATCCAGGCGTAACATAAGAAGCACAGACAACTGTGCCAAAATGGTGTCAAGATCGGCATCTTGAATGGCTTGAAATTCATCAGCTCCACCTGTTCTTGCAACTTTTGGTTGCTTTGGTTTGGAGACATGAGTCTCCTTGGGAGTTTGTCGTGATGGAGGCTGGCTTGGTTCAGCTGGCTTCCGATTATCAGGAGCTGCTGGAGCAACCTGACCAACTGATTGGATTGCCACTGGCGGTGCTGGAAAAGCTCCAAGGTGTGGTTGAAAAAGACCTGGTGGGTGAGAAGGTCCCGGAGGGACACGTGGAAAAGGAAGTGCCGGTGGCGGTGGAAAACAGGTGATGTCAATGTAGGCCGACTGGCACTTCCACTCCTTCAGGTCTTGATCTCCCACGTGATCTCGGAATGGATCTCGATGGAGATCGCTGTCGACGATGATGTCGTCGATGGCGTCGGCGCCTCCGAGACCCGGAAGGGCCAGTTGACCTGGCGGTGCTCTTGTAAGTGTAGAAACACGCTGACACGGTGGCCGAGGTCTAAGTGGGGGGGCAGTTGATACTGTGATCGCCAAAGGCGAAAACAGGAGCTGCCGAGATTAAAGGTGGTGGGTGGGCAATGCGGTTTACTCCATTGCCGGCTTGACCTGCCTGGCCAGGTGAAACTGGGCCGTGGCCCGAAAAGAACTTGAATGTATAAGACATGTTCGCTGCTGCTGGAGCGAGAGATGTAGCTACAGTGATACATTTGGTCTTGATTGAATGCAAAAGCACTAACAATGTCGGATCTGTACCTGCAGAACAGAGCTTTGTAGAGGCACAGAGCAACTGAATGACATGAAATCTGAACACTGTTTTTGTTCAGCTTGATTGCGAAAGGCACGACGCTGGGAAATCCTCTGTCCAACAGCGCTTGGGGAGTGTCACATGCTCCACATGTCCTCGGGAAGGTTGAAAGCCTGTTGGGAGCTGAAATAGGGAAGCCCAGAAACTTGCGATCAGAGACAGTCTCCAACTGGATGGTAGATCAATAGAACGACAGGTCTGTGAATTGCTGGATTGATCGCAGACTCTGATGTTGAACATCTGAATTTGATGGAGTTCTCTGCTCCACTCGGTTTGCCATGTAAACTCTTTTTGCATGAGAGGGAGTCCGTTCAAAACTGGATTGGTTTGATTTCCTATACATGCGCCTCCATGTTGGCGACAATTCGTGCTGCTGCTCTCTCCACTCCAGCATCAAAGGATGGCTGTACAATGGGCAGGAGATCTTTCACTCTGATGTATTTCACTTGTCTATGCGACGAGTGCCAGGCTTTCCCTGCCAAGCATTCTCTATGTTGGATTGTTTATTAGGATAAAAAAGCTGTGATTTCTCCCGGATATAATTGATCCAAATATTGTTCTGTCAATTTGGCCCGGTCTTCAGAGCAGCTTTGTAGTAAAATGCCGGCTAGCTGCATGCTCGTCACAATGAGCGACAAATTTGTCATTCAGCTTGTTCCGAGCTGCTTGGATGTTTCTGCAAGGGAGTCTGGGACGGTTGTCTAATTCAGTCACATGCAAGTGCAATTCTTTCAGCAGCAACTGATTGAACGACTCCGTTAATTCAGCTGGCAGCCCATGTTTGCTGCGCCGTCTTTCAAACTAGATGCGATTGGCTTTGCGAAAAGTCTCTCGTGGTGGAAAAAATGTGGATGCTGCACTTCCAGCTCCAAGAAATCCACATGTATGGGTGACGGATTTTCAAAGCCTGTCACCACATGTCCATCGATGAAGCACATCGATGAAGCAGTCTTTCGACAATATGTGGCACAACTCATCGCAACAGCAAGGGGGTTCTGCATCAGGATTGTGGGTCACCCATTGGACCCAGTGAAGAAATCCTTCAGGTTCTGATGAAGTTTCTCTTTCACCTTAGACGACGGAATGTGGAATTTTGCTTCGAAGCCACTTGGCCACTCTACAGAATAGACGGGTCCGAGCTTGAAGCCCCATGGCACCTTTGGGCCACGTCATGTTTCGGCTGGCTTTAAAAGATTGCTTGGCGAAACTAGCAAGATACAGATACAATATGTTCCAGGTTTTCTGCCTGGACAACTGACATTTGTAGGGTTAATGACCCGGATAAAGCTTTTTCTCAGCTTGATCTAGAGTCTTCGTCCAAACTTCGAGTAGGAGTTGGCACGAAATCAGCTGGGGTTAAGAGTCGATGGGCATATGCTCCAGTATCCATGCTTGGCGATAAGTGACATCCCGTTGGATTCTCTGTTAGCAACAGTCATGGATGTCGACCCAACATACGTGTAACCGGAAGGCTACGATTGCTTTCAACAGTATGAAAACGGCGCCAATCCACTGTTGGTTGTTTCATGTACACCGCATTGCATCTTGAAAAACGAGGCCAAGTGTACATGGCAGGATAAACATGCATCGATTGAAGCTTTAATTGAAGCTTTCGTCGCAAAATCTCCGCTTGGGATAGCTGAGCGGAATCGTTGAAACAAAATAGCACAGTCAAATGAAGCAATCCCGGAGACCAGATCATGGAAGCTTTCGGAAAATCAGGTGGACTCTTGAGTGGGCCACTGCCCCCTGCTGAAATGCAGAACATTCGGAAATCTTTGTCAGTCCTATCCCTTAGTAACAAGGTTGCACACACAGACAACACACACGGATGAAGGTTGTCAAAATGACAAATCCCATTGTAGATATATGATGAGAAGATCTTGAGGGAGAGGAAAAGGAGCTTGTGGGAGTTGAACTGGAACACCTGAATCCTAGTACAACTGACCTGACGATTGATTCCTCGGCATGCCAGGCTTTTTCGGCTTTGCCTGGTGGCCATCATACAGAAGCAGGTACACAAGGGTGATCAGCCCTTGCCTCCCATGTCACTGGTAGCTTCGTTGGACACAGTCCCAGTGACATGCTGTGTCCCCCTGCGCTTCCCCTGCGGGAACAAGAAAATGCCTGCGCTCCCCCTGCGGGAACAAGAAAATGCCTGCGCTCCCCCTGCGGGAATGACAAAAGTTGCGTGACCTTTCCAAAACCCTTAGCTTAGAATCAGGGTGTACACACACACACATCCGCTCACCTGCGTCTTACTCTTATGCAGCATGCTACTTGTACATGACATGACTAGCACAAAGAAAACATACTGATTTGGAATCTGTTTGTGATCGGACGCGGCGACACGGAGTCGGAGCGCAGGGACCTCATGAGACCTGCCACGGCCAGACCATGCCGGGAGCTGCAAAGACGCGGAAAACGGAGGAGTCCGCGGGCCCCAAAGCGCGGAGTCGCCGATTGCGCCTTGGGATTTCGGGAGCACAGGCAACCATTAGGACCGACAACGATTTCAAAGGCCAAGCTGTCCACGATTTTCACTCCATTTCCGAAACAGACACCCACAGACACCCACGGCACCAAGGCGGCAGCGCGGTTCTAAGCTCGGAGAACACCAAGTATATGGGATTTACAACGAATGCCGGTGTCGGGAGAACACAGCCGGCGCAGGACTGGAAAGAAACGATTTTAGTCGAGAGTGCACAGTGCGCCACAGCGGGAGCCGCAGAACGGCCGTCGAATCACCCCACACGCCTCGCGCGGTAACAGAAACTATCTCTACACCGAACACAAGAATTCCATACGGGGTTGCCATGCTGCTTTGCGAAGAACCACCTGCAACGTCGTCCCACAGGCCCAAGGCATGCCACACCGTTCCACGCCCGGTTCAATTGAAACTCCGACCCATGATGCAAGTACTGACAGACTGATGGATGGTGTGAGTGGGAGCACCTTGTCTGCAACTCGAAGGAGGCGTCGCAAAGACGACCTGCCCTGCTGCAAGACTCGCCGGAGCATGGCCTCCCGTGATTTGATGAGCCCTGGCAACACATGATAACACATGGCAACACCAACGCCATCGCCAACGCCATCGCGCCTTTTTCTCGAACTCAAGCTGCTGCAGGCGCTCCCTGCTGTCATCCTGAGATATATAGCGGGCATCTCTGCAGAGTCTGGCGCCGCGGTTCTGTCCTCCAGTTTGCGCAGACACGCCTCGCTTTCCAAGAGCTCCTGTCACCAAGAACGAAGGCACGGGCTTAATCCTTGCAATGCCTTGCAATGTTCTAGACATCCTCTTCGCACCGTGCGAGGTCGCACACAGCTGCGTGCCTGTTGCGCAGATTCCCGACAGGATTTTGCTCGCATGCAGAACGGGTAATGCAGCAGCAGATTTGTGCAGTGCTTCTCCTACTCGACTCGATGCATGGATTCAATTGGGAGCTGGCGGAACTTGACGAAGCAATTCGACGCTTCATCTCCGGTCTTGGCTCTTCCTAAGCCTAAGCAAGTCTTTTGTGTGCATCGCGTGCAATCTTGCTCCGTACAATACCTAGCTTTCGAACATGCCACTGTCTCCAGAAATGCTTGGTGTATGACGAGAAGCCACCCCGCGGTAATGCCGGAACGAAACAAAGGTGGATTTATCGAACACCTGAAGTGGAGTAGACGACGCTGGACTACTTGGGCGCTGAACGTCGTCCCTTGCACAGGGGCCGTAGACAATGAGTTTGGTGCGAAAGCAGTCTCGAGATCAAATCTAAGCCTCGAGAGTCGACGAAGCCAATGCAGAGGCTAGGCTACAAAGCAGGATTGTGGTGCGAAATCGGTGCATTCCAGCACGAAACTGCCATCGAGACCGCAATGCTAGTCTGTAGTCGGCTATGAGCTTGGCGAAGATGAAGCCTTCAGCTCCGAAGTCTAGCCTAGCCCGTTGATGCGTTGCCTCGATTTAGACTTAGACGAAATATTGAAGGCTAAACTGGAACAATCGAGACCACAACACTGGTCTTGAGTCTCAGGCACGTCGTTGATAGTGGATCGGATAGAACATGAAGTGTGGAAGGCGTCCAAAGTGACAGTATTTCGGCGGAACGTGAGCATCGTGGCTTTTCGTGGCTCTCTGCCACAAGAGCGAAGCTTTCGAGGCGTTTCATCATATGCCTTTGTGCCTTTGGCGAAGGACACGTCTCGTTGCACCGAGAAGCACACAAGAGATCACGGGAGCGTTTGGCAGAGGCTGCGAAGGCCCTTTACACACAGGTCGAAAAAACCCAAGCACCAAGAGTACTCAAGGCAATGAATTGGCATCAGCTGGTGCCACAAGATGCTAGAAGCAAGCAGGAAGCACTGATCCACCGCCGTCTTTTCAGTCCTTAACTGTTTAACTTGCTTCGCTGCGATGTGATACTATTACCTGGTACGATGCAAGCCGGGGGATGCTGTGTCTCTGGCGACTTCCGCCACCTCCAGCGCTTGTCACCTGCTCAAGCGATGGACTCGAACCACAAAAAGGAGCTCCACCATCGAGACTCAGTGAAAAGACGCACCTTCACCGCCTCCGAGCCTCCGAAGCAAAACCAAACATGAGGGCACGAGGGACGGCACTGGGCCCACGTTGCTGAGGGCCGGTCTTGGATTTGGCATCCAAGGTCTTTTGGCGAGTTCTTGCATACCGTTCCTGCACATGTTGTCCTATGATGTGCCCAACCCGACAAGATCGGAAGCCTGCAGCTCCGCAAATCGTCTTTTCACCTGCGAGCAAACCCGAGTCAGACCTCCCTAAAGGCGCCAGGCGGCCGGGCCTGCTGCAGGTGTTTCGCACGCCCTGTACTCTCTTCGACCAGCGTGGCGATCGTCCTCTGGAGCGGCTGCGTGACAACGAGCCTCGAAGGAAGGGCTCGACTGCTGCACGCACCAGACCCCTTGGACGCGCTGAAGGCCCAAACTCCAGGTCCACTGCGACCGCCAGCAACGCTGCACTGAGGTTGGCAAAGGTGGACAAGAAGTCAGTGCAATCCTCAACCTGCGAAAAGCTGTTTTTCTCCAATTCATATCTTTTCTCATTTCGAGGGCGGGACTGCCTTTTCGCCCGCCGCGGCAAAGGTCTGTTCAGGGGAAGAAGACTCCGCTCGCTCTTAAGGGAAACCTTGGAAGGCATGAAAAGGCCTCAGCCTGCAGCTGCCGCATTGCGCCTCCGCAGACCTCTTTAACAGCGGACGCGTTTGTGTACAGCATGTTTCAGTTCTTGCATTCCATGAGATCTCAGTGCATGGCCCCCTGCAGATGATCGCCAAAGGTCCGACAGTTGGATGCAATCTGACCACTCACTTCCTGGACAAACTTCATCCTCAACGTTGGCAATGGGCAGAAACTCAGCCCTGCCTCCAGGAGCTTGCATGTGAGCACATCACAGTGCATCCAATCGGGCCTTGGGAAGCGGTCTTCTTCTTCGGCTGAAGTTCAACGCTGGCCCTGCTACAGTATTACTGGTAGTAATTTATCGCAGGCTTATCTTTGCCCCCACGGCCATGCTTTAGCATGCCAATATGCAGGTTGATTGCTGCAAGTGGACGCGCACAAACGTCATCCGTGTGAGGAGCCGAGAATCTGGGTCTCCTGTGCTGTAGCAGTGCAACCTCTTCATGGCTCATGGCTTTCCTTGATTTTCAGAGGGCCAACTTTACAAACTGCCAACAGGGGTTACAAGATGAGTGGGAGAGATCATCTCCGCTCAAAGATGCACACGGTTTGGGGAAGCTTTGCACAACATGCAGCCTCCGTTATGGGCACAGAACCATGCTCCTCCCATCCTCTCATGTAGAGCCACGAATGATTTTTTTTTTTGCGCAGGTGCCGAGCCTTTTGGAATTGGGCCTCGGCTTTGGAGACAGCCCATATTCCATAAGCCCGATACATCCCGAGACCTCGTTACCCTTGTACAGGAGGGTGTAGATCCTTGCAGCAAAGGTCTCAACATGATACCTCCACTGCTTTCGCAGCAATGCTTCGGTCGAAGTGGAAGGACGGAGGATTCTGGGCACATCTGGGCGGCACACATCTCTGTCGTAATTCGGAACACTGAAATGATTGGAGCATAGGACATGTTCAGCACTCAACTCTCTCGTTGGATGCTTTCCGTGGTGGTGCGAAGAGTGCCTTTTCGGAGAAAAAACGGGACGTGAAAAGCTCCCATTTCGCAGCTCAGAACTCAACTCATCAAGACCAAACTCCCAAAATTCAATAGATTGCTGAGAGAAACACAGACGAAATTGCCAGCCAGCGTTCAGCCTTTGAAGCTATGCTGAGTGAGTTAGCACTTGGACCTGAGGGGTTGCGGGCCACAAAAACGCATTTGAGGTATGATGCGAGTCAAGACTGTAGCTATCAGCTAAAGTCGACATGCCAGGCATGGCCGAGAGACAAGGGTGTCAGGAGCAAAACAAGCTAGATGTGGGCTGGTAGATACAGGCATTGCTGCCTGCTCGTCGTGCATTCTTGACATGTGTACCACAAATGAGCCTGTCGGAGCATACCTCACGAAGACCTCTATCCGATCTACCAGCATGTTCATTTCGAAGGGGCAGAATGGAGAGGGAAGAAACAAATGAGGCATGCAGGACACCCCACAGCATGAGATACAGATGCACGTTGTGCTGGACGTGGCTGAATGGGGGAGAAACCATTTATTAATTGCACTGTCAAACGGGTCGTAAACGTGAAATGCCCTTTGCATTCCGAAACTTCACACAAAGAAGGGCTAATGTGCTGCCGACAAAATCCAAGGCCTCAAGTGCCCCTGCACTGCACAATCGAGCAAACTCAGGAGCGCACAATACTTCAGACTTTGTGACAGTGGAGACCTTGCTGAAATCGTGTTGGAATACCTGTGACATTCTAAGGGCGCCTCCACGAAGACGGAACACCCGAGGCTTGCGCAGAGGCCATGCTCGTGCATCACATTGCCCTTCCTACTTATCACACACAAACGTCTTCATCCTGATACAGTCTGTTAGACTCAGATCTGTCAAGTCGGAAGGAGCTTTCATGTAAGTCAACCAGACAAAGCTCGAGACAGTGTTCTCTGCACATCGCTCAAGCTGCTTGTGACCGAATTGGCTGCAAAAGTTGTTCGAGTCGACGGAGCCCTATGGCATCCCACAAAAGTGTTGCATTGTGTCTCACAATGGCTGATTATGGTCAGCATTCCTATGGCCAACGTAGTGTCAACGATGTACCAGAAGCACAATTCTCCCGATGATGCGAAGCACCTGGAACCTCCAGCTCGTCCACAATCGAAAACTGGACAATCGTTTTAGATCTTGTTGAAGACTCAAACTGTGTTCATAGCTGAGCATTTCACCACGATCCTCTGACAGAAGATGCTTTCAGCACGCCTAAACTCTGCTAGACTGAACGGGGCGTCTTTGACGGTTGCCTGCCAACATGAAGCCCAGATAGGAACCCTGCCACCTTCGCAACAGAGTGATTTGACGACTCACGAACTTCAGAATATTGAGGGTTGTCAAGCACGTGCAAAGGAAAACAAGGAACACACTTTTTGCATTGTATAACCTCAGTGGTACTCAATAAATCTTCGTCGACCTCCACGAATTGACCAGTACGAGCATTTTTGCTTCATTGGGCGGCTTCGGGCACGCTCCCGAAGGACTGCCCCACTTTCGACCTGAATACATCTGGGCTCTGCACGTGAATCGACTAAGTCCAGGGTTCGGGATGCTCTGGCTGCGGGGGAACGCCGAAATTCATATCCTTCCACAATTGCGCGCTGGGCACAGCACATTGATGTTAAGTGGCTACTGGTAGGGCGGCGAGGCAGACTCAGGTGAACTTGCAGCTTAGCCAGGGACAGCACGCCGAAGCCGGAATTGCCGACATCCTGTTGAAAAGTCTTGATGGAAAGGCCTGAAGTGTAGCACGTGTACCAACACTGCACTTGCGATTTTTTTGGTCTGCTCGGTGCCAGTTGCACGTCAGCTCGCAAAATAGGGTCTCATTAACAAGCCTGCTTTCCAGCACCTTCTGCGTGGGCAGCTTTCGTCCGAGGGCAGCTTTCGTCCGATCTAACATCCCGTTGCATCTGGCAAAGGGATCACAGCTCAGACTTGCCGCCGACAGAGGTCAGGTCGCAACCCTGAGCCGCTCAGAATATCTCAGAATCATGTGATCTGCGTCGAAACGTTCATGCGATGTCTTGTGACTTGCGCCTCTTTCCGGCACCGGCTGTGGAGTGCTCCCACCAAGACGCACAAAGGTGGCAGCACGAAGATCAAGATCTCCAGAATCTGGGTCGGCAAGGTATTTGATGGATTCTAGGACTTGATAGATATATATGTCCCGCCGAATTCGCATGGGCGGCAGCAAGCACACGTAGTTGTGGATGGTTGGTATGGTTCTGGGTCGGAGACTATCCCGTCCTTCCACCCCGGAGATGAAGCCAAGCGAACTAGACCAAAACTGCCCATCACGACCTCGCTCTTAGGCCAAGTCCCAATCTGCCATCGTGTTCTGCTGAGAAAACTGGCTTACGTCGAAGGGAAAGCTAGCGGCTTGCCTGTATAAAATATCAATGCAAAGCGCTGATGAATAGCCAATGACAATCACAAGCATGAAGGTACATCAAGAAAGTGCCCTACATCAAGAAAGTGCCCTGTCTTGACCTAATTTGTTGGTGCAACACGCCAACGGAGTCGAAGCCCTCCCACTGCAACAGAAACTGTTTCTAAGCCGAGAAAGGATGGTTCGCACCACGCACACACCAGAGGCCTTGAACGTCATCTTCGGAGGAGAACGAACCCCATCCCACCCTGCCCTTGCGGAGTCATCATGTCGCAAGCGTGCGGTGCAGAGCCAAGAAGACTTCACTGCATGGGACACTCATTGAACGATAAATGTTGTTGCTGTGCTACTCGAAAATACCGGCGGCTGCTGCTACTGCTTCGTGCCCAGCACGATGTCCGCCAATATACGACAACCCATGTCAATGTGCATGCTGCCAGAACTGAGAGGCCATTCCCGAGTGTGGACTGTGGGCGCTGCGAGATGAAGCGACTCCCAGTAGCACGACGAGTGGCCTTTGCTGTTCTCTTGTGCGGCTGTGGGTACGCATCCTCGTTGTGTCGAACCCGATAGTCGCTGAGAAGTCCAGCCTGGAAACGAACTTTTGATTCGCATTTGGAGCCTCAAGCTGTGAAGGGCAAACGAGCCTTCTCCTCGTCATCACAGATGTACCAACCCTGATCGGTGTATGTACCGTCCTATGCGGCAACGCATGCTGTGCCTTTGCATGTGGAAAGAGGCAGCAGCAGGTCCTCCCGAATCGCATTCGAAAGACGATACCTCAGCCACGCAGACTTCTGCCAGTGAAAGTGCTGGAACATGAATGCAACCTTCAAAGACCAGCTCAGTCATCAGGTCTGCAAGCTACTCGGGGTACAGGTACTTTATCTCGTCGTACTCTGCCGGCAGGCCCTGGGCAGGGAATTTGCCACCCTTCAAGTGCTGGTCTGAGGTTATCATACAAGTGACCTTCACTTCACGCGGCGCGGCAATCGTGTGCATGCTTCGCGGGTACTGCATGCGCAGGATACGATGGCCCTTCCTCCCAAGAAGCCTGAACAGCTGTGGCAGCCATTCGGCTCACCAGTGGCTCGTTGAAGAAACTTCCAACCTGACTGCCGACACGCCTCCCCCACACGAAACCAATAGCACCATCATGAACATGCCTCTGCAATGAAGGTGAAGGCCAACGAGTTCATTACAATGTCCTTGGCTGTGCTGCTTGCCGACCAGACAGAGGTTTGGAAGCAGAAATCGGCGACTTGCAGTGCACCCTGAAGTTTTCGAGCTGGGGTCGAAGGGCTCGTCAAAAGCGCAGATGACAAGAAAGGATACCTCGGTGCTTTTCTGGCTGTCTTGATAGCGTGAAGTAGCCCTCAGTCCTCTCAAGACGTGGGGACAGAGGACGGAGATACCGCAGAACTCAGTTTTTCCCCGTGCTCGAGTTTCCGATGGCATGCATTCCAAAAAAATTCAGCCCACCGTGCGCTGTGACCCGGCACCTTACACCCATGCGGATTCCAACTACGTCTACTGGGACTCTACACTTCAATAGAAGACCGACAACGAAGTACGGAGCCCTCGGCTTCGCTTCCACTTTCGGCGGCCACGCTGCAAAACACCAACGGCAAGAGAGAAGGGTCACTCGCCTTCTCTATCAATACCCGTTTCCTCCGAAATTGAGGTCCTCAAGCGTCGGTTCCAAAGACGGGGCTGCCAGGCGGCCGTGGTAACACACATCAAGACAATGTACCTTCAGGCTGAGGCTGTGCAACACCCATGTCCCAGAAGTTACTTCAAATAGATCAAGATGCACAGACAGATCTTCCGAGCTGCTGAATCATCGGAACACAGATTGCCCAAGAGTTTCGAACCACCTGACCAGCAGACGGGGGGAACGCACAAGATGGACTGGACACCGTCAAACAGGTGAGCCTGAAAGGTTTATTGCACCATTTTCGGATGGGTAAAGATTTGTTGCCTTGTTTTGTTCTTTGATGGTCTTGGGGGGTGGGGCCGATGCAAGGGGGTGCAGGGGATGCGATGCGTTGGGGGAGGCCTGGAGACCCTAAGTGCTCTGGAGGGCAGCATCATACTGTCCCATCATGCACGTCACTTCCGCACTTCTATTGCTTTGTGGCGGAAGGCCTCGCCCTTCAGCGGCAGAAACCAGCGGCCTTGTTTGTTCGAGGGTGCGAACGTGCGCGGCCGGCAGAAGCCGGTCCCGTGTCGGGCAATCATCTCCCAAGCTCAACAGAGGAGCTATACATCATCCAAGTGTCTGAAGTCGTGGTATCTGAGCAACGCCCTCACCTCAGAACTCCACGCAACCTGCGGAGTTCTACTACCCGTTCTGGTGCCAGACCATGCCAAACCCGCCAACTCCATCCCGAGGCACGCTGCTGAACTCCTGCAAGTAGACCTCGAGCAGGCTGAAGTCCGAAACAACACCGACACATGCCAACACTGTCACAAGACTTGACAAGATGCTGCCTCAGAGAAGACCCATGTACAACATACCAAGCGCAAGATCAGAATGACGTAGTTGCCGGAGGCAAAGACCTCACTCTTTCAGAGAGGGGTTTCCCTGGCTGTTCTCGATTCTCACGTCGGACTCAGTCTTCCACCAGGTGATAGAACTCTGTGGCATGGCTGATTTGTGACATCATCACCGTCCGACCGCGGACATCGGCTTCAAACCTTCCGAGCATTGAGTCTTTAGACCTGTCGGTCGTTCCACACACTTCGCTTGTCAACACCAGGTGCCCTGCGCCGGCTCTGCTATTGCCTACGGACCATGACATGCGCATTGAGCCAGCCAAAACGCATGGGAAGAAAAGCAACCGCGACAGCATCTGCTGGCTTGAAGCCACTCCAAACTCTTGACTCTAGATAGCTTGAAACGTTGACTCCGCTCCTGACCACTTTCCGTTCCAGGCAGCCTCACATGCCTCTGCTGTGGCTGCTTCGAGGAAGCCTTGCAGAGAAAGGAAAGAACTGAGATCTGAACTAACCACAGAACGCTTTCCGCTCAGGCTGAGGACCCCATTATGTGGCACCCACCTCTCACTCGTAACGCGGCCACTGCAGTCACGTTCTGGCAGTTGACGAACGCAGTTTCTTGCTGGACCTGAGATGCGCGCAAACGCCAAAGATCAGCCCTTGTCATCCGTCTCGTTCCAATCATTGCATCCCGGCTACTGTCGGGGGGTAAAGAACCTCGCGCAAGACGGTCGAGTCATGTCAGCCGTGTGAATGCAACTGAGAGGGCTGCAGGTAGCACAAGCAGTGAGATTAGCCACTGCTGGACAGTTCGACGGACCAAACTGCCATTGATGCAAGTCCAGACCGGCGACCTGCCTTGCTGCAACAACTTCGGAGAAACTTTCAGCTTTGCCACATCAAGATCACTCAAGCAACGGTGATGGCCGCGATGACAAAGATCTGCGACCCGGCGATAAAAAGTAAGTACAGCCAGGCAATGCGAACCTGACACGGGATGTAGCATTCTTGGTCGGAGCAGGTTTCATGGCTAGTGCTGCACAGATGTGCAGCTCAAGACGGAAACTATGAAGAAGGACAAAAAAAGACTTCGACTCAGTGCATCACGAAGAAGCGAGTATCATCATGACTGTGAATCTGCGAGTATTTGTGTGCCACGAGGCGTCTGGATTTCGAAACGGAGATATGCTGTACCTCGCGCAATACAACTGACTGTGGAACATGGCATGAAATGCCCCAATTCATCGGGACTGCCGTTTTTGCTGGCTAGCCACATTTCAGGTGTAGCATTTCTTGCCAACAAATAGAACGTGGCATAGACATCCTCCGCAATCTGGAAATCATCAAACGGACCTGTAAACTCAAGCGGGCCCGATGTTGCCAGGCTGGTGCAGCAGACGGTTCGGCACAGGTAGTGCGCGCAGTGCTGACCCAAGCACTGCGTCATCGGTGTGGAGTATGTCCATTGCGTTTTGTAGTCGCTCCGGCAAAGTGTGAGTGTGACACGAAGTTCCATCAAAGAAAATTCTGTTGCAACCAGCCCCAAGGTTGAGAACGGCTGCTCTCATGCAGCACCAGTGAAGATCATGCGAGGATCTGAAGCCCTTCGTTTCACCCTCCACCCTGAGAAAGCGAAAACCTTCTCTGTCTGCTCGGTTCGCTGCCGATGCTCGACAGGATCTGGCCAGCATCCCTCCGTATTGAGCGTTCTGTGCTGTTGCATGCGTTGTTCCATCCTCGTCGGGACGTTCCTCTAATTCCCGCATGTTTCAACATGCTTTTGTAGATCCAACCACTCCAACATAACCCGATGACATGTATCAATGCATTGCACTCGAGGACTTATCACTCCCAATCAAAAGGCATTGCGGCGAGGGCAGGATTTGTATCCCAAAATCTGTCGGCAGTGTGACAAGAGCGCTCAAGGTCCACTTTACGGTAAACACGCGAAGCCCGCAAATGCGAACCCCATTGTACCAAGAGCAGAATTTTCGTTGGAAACTCCAAAGCCTCCAAGACCGGGTCGCACGAGATATGCATGGCCATCGTCATCACACAATTTAGGCTGGTACAAGGGGAGCAACGTTGACTCCAGCCTTCCAGAAGCTCATCCGGGATTTTGCTGCGATCCTCGCATCGGAAGGGAAACTTCACCTCCAGCAGACCACATCAAGAAAGCCCGCAAAGACTGCAAATCGCTTTCGGCACGAGACCTTCACCGAGGGTGTAGATGGTTCAGCCTCGCGGTGAGCAAGGAGGTCATGATTGTCATGGCAAGCCCAGGCGACGAGACGAGCCAGTCGGGGAGACAAAAAGAGTGGGACTCGAGCCTTGCGATCCTCTGTTTGGGGCGTTGGCATACCATCTACATGGCAGCTTTGCGAGTCCTCATGCCTTTTGCATTGAGTTGTTTGCGGAGTGGAGCGTTTAGATTCCTACCAGTACTCCCAGCACAGAAGCGCTTCATGTTAGGATCATGCGCCCGCCGGTCCCTCACACCCGACCCGACCTGACCTCGCTCCTTGTGCATGTTCTTGCGCTGTGGGATTGCTACGTCGGGCTTGAAAATGAGAAGCGATGCACTCCGGTAACCGGAACACGACGCTCCTCTTCGAGAGGGCTCCCGAACACGCAGTTGAAAATGAAAACCCGTTGCCCCGTCTTGCGACCAAATTAAGCACAGCAGTTCAACAACTTCAGAAGCGCAGCCGATCTGCATTGGGCAGGCCGCCAGGCCCCCGTCGGCTCACGCTGAAAACTGAACTGCGCGAGCTTCCGGCGCAATGAGTGTCTTATGGAGCATTTTAGACCCTACATGACCCTACTACAGGAGACATGGACATGTCTCAACTGCACGGCGTGATTTCTATCGGAGCCAGGTCAAGCGAAAAACTGGCCCAAGATGGCAAAACGGAACGTGAAAACCAGGCAACATAGTACAGCATTGCACTTCGCTGGCTAAGCGCACCCGTTCACAAGGCCCAAGGCCTTGTTGCTGGAATCTGACCTTGAAGTATTGTCGAAGGACGCTCCAGGCCGAGACCTCGAGACTATGCGTTTCAAGTGCCGGCCCCGGAAGTATCAAGCTCTGCTCACCCGCCTTGATACCTGAGACGACTCCGCACGCGAATGACGATGGCCCATGGCTTTGTTCAAGCACAGATACAGTCCCAATCAAAGGAAAAAATCTCCAAACTGATAATGTCCTTGCGCCTTTGGCTGGTTCTGGCCACCAAAGCTCTCAACTCTCAGTGGCGAATTGGAGACGGGCGTTCTTTTGATACCATCTCCAACCGAGCCGCCAAGAACGGCCAAAATTCTTGACGAAATCGAGGTTTCCCATCAAACACAAAAGTCGGCGGTAAACGGTCAGAAGGCGCTTCTGATCGTTTACCACTGACTTTTAAGTTCATTTGAGGCTTTCGGGGAGTCTCGGGGGTGGGGTTGCGTCGGTCGGTTGGCTGGTTGGCTGGTTGGCTGTTTGGCTGTTTGGCTAGTTGGCTGGCTGGTTGGCTGGTTGGCTGGTCGGCTGCTTGGCTGGTCGGCTGGTTGGCTGGCTGGTGGGCTGGTCGGCTGGCTGGCTGGCTGGCCGGCTGGCTGGCTGGTTGGTTGATTGGTTGGTTGGATGGCTGGTTGGTTGGATGATTGGTATGTCGCCTGGTTGGTCGGGATGGGATGTTGTTGGGTTGGTTGGTCGGTCGGTAGGTTGTTGGTGGTGTTGTCGTGTCTGTTGGGCGCATAAGGGGAGACACGCCTCAATGGGGAATGGTTGGGATTGGGGATGGGTGGCAAGGATGGGCAGGCGGAAGGGAGAGGGGAGGCAGGGGGCGGGGGGGGGGGGCCCTAAACCCCGAACACGGATAAAGGGGGCGAGGGGGGAGGGAGGGAAGGGGGATGCGGGGCTAAGGTAAGTATGGACAGGGCGGACAAATGTGGACAAGGCATGGGATGCTTCGGGGGCTGCTGCTCCTCTCTGCTGCCCGCCTTGTTGAACGTAAGACCTCCTCTACCTTAAACTCACTCGGGCAAGGCGGGTTCACTTAGCGGTCAAAATACAAACTTGCCAAAGCCGACTCGGAGTTGATGATGGGATCCTGGAATACTTAAACTTGCTAGAAAGGACTCCATGCAACCTATGTGTGTTGCGCATGTTTGCTACAAGACCGTTTGCGCTTCCAATTCACAGGCTGCAAGAGCTTCCATTGTGCACTACTTCTCTCGAGCCAGACAAAGCAGTTGACCGGTGGTCTCAAACTCATGCAAATGATATGAAACACCTGCACCTTGCACCAACCCGGCTCTTGGGTCACTCGGGTATTCAGCTTAGGGTTCAGCCTAGTCTTCATATAAAAAACATTGATAAAACCCCGGGTTTTTTGGCTTTTGACTTTCAAGTTTATGTTTTAGGGTCTGGCAAACACATTTACAAACCTAGGGTTTCATGCGAGTTGTAGTGATGGACTACATTGAAGAACCAGGCGACCCCGCAAAAGAAGACCTGAGCGACACTTCGGCCTACCCTCCTTTGGCATTTTGCGAGAGCCAACACATTGTGTGAAGCAGGGTGTTTTCCTTATCTCCCCAACATAACACCCACATTATGTGAACAAATTATGTGAACCCATATATGAGTAGCAGACTCAAGAGGCTCCCAAAACACCCCATGAGTGAGTCCAAAATGCGCAGCGTGCCACAACACCAGGAAGACGAGTCGCCCTAAAACATGAGCGATACTGCTGTGGAAGCACGATTTTAAACGCGAGTCCCACACACGAGCACAATTTCAGCAGGCCAACTCGCACAGGTCTGTGGTCGAAAGACACCCCCAAAATACGCTCGGTCTGTGGCACCCAAAACCATCCACTGCCGTGAGGCGTAGTGCGATTCACCAATTTCGCAAGGTCCAACAATCGGAGGTCATTGCCGGCAGGGAACCGTGGAAAGAGCACGATTCTAGTCGAAAACGCGCATCGCGCTATAGGCGGCCCTCACCAGATCAGTAACCAAATCCTTTTACTCACTCCAAAGTTTACCCACTCCAAACCAAGGAATCCGGGAATTGCGGAGTGAAACGGAAGGCGCTATACGCTCACCAGTACTCCAAATCCCATCGATCCTGCCCTACCATACCCCACCCGTGCTGTCTTGCAAAGCCCAAGGTCCCAAAGCGCTTGCGCCTTCATCCTTCCGTGGAAGCGCCAAAGGGGCTGTGCGGTGAGCGGACACGGGCAATGCAGTACGAAACTCCCGCATGAGGCTTGGAGCAATTTCGAACCGTTCGCTTTCATCTACCCTGTGCATGTCCCTGCCTCCAGGAGACTTCCAATGCGAGTCCAAGCCTGCTATTCGAGGAACCCTCGCTGAACATGCGGCTGCATCTGCTTGCCGTGCCTCCGCAATGATGACCTGAACGCGGATCCCCGCAAGTGCATTGCACCATCTTGAGAAAAGATCATTTGCAGGTGCTCCCATTGTTACGTCGGTGGTAGCCGTGCGTGATTGCAAATCTTCTTGGAATGCCGCGTCACGTAAAGACTTAAATCACCACAATCTTGTCGCACCTATCTGGCACAGAGGACATGCGACGCCAGTGAAATGGCAACAGCTGCTGGAAACGAGAGACATAGTCTCGCATCGCCGACTTGGACAATGCGGGCTTGCAAGCCCGAGCCGATGGTGCAAGCGAACCCAGGCCGGAGCATAACCGTGCCACCAACGGGGGCGGGTGGGCCGGCAAGGGCATTGCCGCCGCCACGCACAATGTGGCTGGAGTCTAGACTAAGTGCACGGGCGCCGCCCCAATACCACTTCCATGAAGCCTCTTTTTACAAGAGACGGCGTATCCGCTCGGCCGAGGCTCGGCACAGACTGCATTCGCATTACGGGGTGACAGCACTAGCAATGCACAAGCCACATCAGTCTAGTCACTCCAGTCAGCATATCCTACTGGCAAACAAACTAGTACTGGAGTAACATACTGGCGATGTGATCTGTGGGGGGGAACTGCCGAAGTTAGGGCAGCGGCTTGCAGGATCATGAGGACGACGATGGCCAGGTACAACAAAGGGACCAGCCTGTGCCATGAGATTGTTACGTTGCAACGCATGCTCCATTCACAACATTTTGCCGCTAATACTCGTGCACACCGCACTATGTAAGCTCAGACGACGGCTTCTCTTTCACAGAGTCGAAATAGCCCTCACGCAACAAGAAGGATCCGCCTCCACACACGAGGAAAGCAAATAATGGCTGAATACTTCGCAAGAGCACACTGATACAAACCTACCACACAGAAAAAGATTATGCCGGCGTCGACCCCAAAAAGCGCAAGATCGCCTAGCAGACCCAGCCTGCTACACGTTGGATCACGTTGGTTGGAAAAGCCCAAAGTGTTAAAAGGTACCGCGGGTGGCAATGCCTAAACCCTAAAAGGACAAGCTGTTGAACGGCAAACCTTGAACTATGATTTTTGCGTTTGAGAAGCAGGCCATCGACAACAAGAGCTAAGCGGGTTGTTTGCCGCAGGAACACTTCGTTTCGCAAGTAGTATACAGCACATCTTGGCAAGGATTGGCTGAAGGCTTAGCGGAGTTTGCATGCCAAAAGAAAAAGTTCCAATCTGGTTCCAGGTTCAAACCCCGCTCGGAGGGACTTCAAGGGGGCTTCATAGGTCAAACCCTTTGACAAGCCACACGAAAACGCTGTTGAAAGGAACAAGGAAGACAGAGTTTCAAGCCGAGGAAAAATTTGTCAAATTCCGAATTCAAGCAGGTAGGCGCGAACGAGCCTTGGAGAAGGGCCTTGAAGGGAGCTTGTCGAGAGGGCTTGAACGGCTTGAGTGAAAAGTTCAATGGACACTTTCAAGCTCCTCTGGAATGCACAATCCTAAGCAACAATCAACAAGCTCAAGCGAGAATGCAGTCGGCTTCAGAATGCAATCAATCGGTCGGGAATGTTTTGCAAGCACTTGAGCCAATGTAGCGTGTGGTCAAGTACCACATGTTGAGTATCAATTCAATCTAACACGGTTCCTTGGCCAATGCTCCTTGGGCAATGGCCACACTAGTTCATACTTCAAACAAAAATTGATCAATAAAATGACGATGCAAACAATAAAAATCAACTCACGCAATGACTCGGCTAAAGGCTTTTGTGTATACGAGGTGCAATGCTTTCATCGATCTGTACAATCAACCAGCAAATGACTGTCATCCAGCCAATGGCGTCGGTTTGTGTTTTTTGCAGTCAATGACTCGAAATCGCAGTTGCAGAAATGTGGCATAGAGTTGCCAATTGGTTCCATCACCAATGAAATCTGTGATGCATCCAATCCATGAGCTAGATGCTCAATCACCAGAGAACAATCAATCATCGATGCGGACTGTGCTGCCGGCCGGGACAATGACCGTCGTGACCGACGTGTCCTTCAATGGCCGTGCAGTTGGCTTCTTTTTGACAATGAAACCATCTTCGATGATCAGTTCAACATGTTCAACCTCCTGGCAATCGTCATCAAGCTGATACAATGTAGTGGGACAAGCATCAGCGTACTCAATCGGGAAAAGAAAATGCTTTGCGCAGGCCAATGTCGGCCTTGCGTTCTGGAAGCAATCAACGTGAGTCCAGCAAAACAATTCGCCAATTGTCAGTACTCTGCCAATCGCCATCAATCCAGCTTGTTCCAATGGATCCAATTGAAATAATCCAGCATCAGGGGACCAAGTCGTCAGAAATGAGGACCCAATGTACGAAACGTTGTGACAGTCCCTTTGGCCGCCACGGCCTTCCCCTGTCCTGAAATCAATGCTCAATCGGGTATGCAGTGGATGAAACAATATCATGCCAATGCGCGTGTCGCCTGGAACGCATCAAAGCTGAATGAACCTTGGCGAATCCAATGGCCAAGTTTGAGCCATGACTGATAAGGAGTCAGCCCAAAATTTAGTTGCCCCTGGCCGGGCAATGCTGACACATTCACCGATCCTGTGTCAATCAACGTTTGAATCCATGTGACTGGCAATGCCAAATCTGTCCACACATCTGACAATTGATTGTGCAGAAATTGTGCACATCAATGGACTCACTTCCAGTCATTACCACGCATGTTCGCAATGCTGCCTTGAAGCAGGTGTCCAATGTAGGAA